CATCGAGCTCGGAGGGTATGATACCAAGTACCAACCCCGGACGGCTATCAAGTTCCAAATTTTGGCGGACTTCGTGGCCGACTTTACGCCTGCCCTCATGCCCGAGGTATAGAAAGAACTCTTGCTAAAAATGGGCACATTATCGGGGGTATGGACCCCATTCACCGACGGTGCCTCGAACGTGAAAGAGTCCGGGCTCGGCATCATTCTGAAACCGCCTACGGGCAGCATAATTAGGAAATCTATAAAAACTTCAAAATTTACTAACAACGAGGCCGAGTATGAGGCTATGATTGCAGGTATCGAGATGGCCAAGAGCCTAGGAGCAGAAGTCGTCGAAGAAAAATGCGACTCCCTTCTGGTAGTCAACCAAGTAAATGGAAGATACTTTGACAAACTTCAGGTCATATTGCATCGTTTCAAAGAATGGACTCTGGTCCACATTCCTCGAGATCAGAATAGTGAGGCCGATGCACTCGCGAACCTAGGGTCGTCCGTCGAAGAAGATGACATACTCCCGGGGGCTGTGGTACAGTTATCCAAGTGTGTGATTGAAGAAGGCCACGCCTAGATCAACTCAACAAGTCTAACATGGGATTGGAGGAATAAATACATCGACTATTTGAGATACGGGATGCTGCCCACAGACCCAAAAGAATCGAGGGCCCTTCGAGCCAAAGCAGCTCGATTTTCACTCGACGAGAATGGAACATTATATATAAAAACCTTCGACGGACCTCTAGCAGTATGTTTGGGACCGGGGGACATCGATTATGTACTTCGAGAAATCCACGAGGGCACTTCTGGAATTCATTCCGGCGCCGATTCTTTGGTTCGAAAGGTGATCAGAGCAGGCTACTATTGGCACAGTCTGGAGAAGGACATCAAGGAATTCGTTCGAAGGTGTGACGAATGCCAAAGGTTTGCGCCAATAATTCACCAACCCGGTGAACAACTACATTCAGTCTTATCACCATGGTCGTTCATGAAATGGGGGATGGACATCGTCGACCCCCTACCAATGGCGCCAGGTAAAGCTAGATTTATTCTGTTTATGACTGACTATTTCTCGAAATGGGTGGAAGCATAGGCCTTCGAGAAGATAAGAGAAAAAGAAGTCATGGACTTCATCTGGGACCACATCATATGTCGATTCGGGATCCCCTCCGAGATTACATGTGATAATGGGAAGCAGTTCATAGGCAACAAGGTGACGAAGTTCCTCGAAGATCATAAAATCAAGAGGATCCTATCAACGCCCTATCACCCATGTGAAAATGGACAGGCCGAGTCCACGAACAAGACCATAATCCAAAACTTGAAAAAGAGGTTAGAAAATACGAAGGGAAAATGGAGAGAGGTATTGCCCGAAGTACTATGGTCATACCGAACAACTTCGAAGTCAAGCAGAGGAGAGACACCGTTCTCTTTGGTATACGGGTCTGAGGCTTTGATACCGATCGAGGTCGGAGAGCCAAGCTCCAGATTTCGACATGCCACCGAGTACTCGAACCACGAGGCCATGACTACAGCCCTCGAGCTACTAGATGAAAAGCGAGAGGCTGCACTAGTTCGAATGGCCGCCCAAAAATAGAGGATCGAGAGATATTATAACAGGAGAACAAACCTCCGATACTTCGGAGTCGGGGACTTAGTCCTAAGGAAAGTCACCTTCAACACTTGAAACTCAAATGAAGGGAAACTAGGCCCGAGCTGGGAAGGACCGTACCGCATCCTTGGAGTAGTAGGCAAAGGGTCCTCCAAACTTGGCACCATGGAAGGCGAGCAACTTCCAAGCAATTGGAACATATCGATGCTCAAACGTTATTATTGCTAAGATATAACCTTCTCCCTTTTCGCTTTATGTCTCATACTAATTTCTTACAGGTGTTCGATGGGAGACGCTGAAGCACCCTTCGACTCGAAGACCTTGGGTTTTAAAGCATGCGTTGCACTCTTTTTCCCTTCGATCGGGTTTTATCCCAAATAGATTTTACCGGAGAGGTTTTTAACGAGGCAACATCTATATGCTACCTAAGGAGAACTCAACAAGTATTCAAGGCTTCTTCTCAATCAGCCTCGAATACTGGGGGGCATCCCCCTCGGAGGTTATCATTTCAAAAAAATCGAGTTACGCCTAAGGGGACCTCAATAGGAAAATATTGTATTGGGCCAAACGGTCGAATGAACCGTGTCCATGTAGAACTATGGAGCCTCCGAAGGCAAGAACATGTACACATATATCAAGTAATCAAAGAAGCCTCTCTGCTTGTCAAAACGTTGTGTGTCTCAAAGAAGTTTGCTACTGTCACGCAAAACGACTCAAGGGCCAAAAATCCTCGAACACTCGGGAACTCTCATCGACAGTCAGCTCATCAAAGCCATCAAAAACTCAAATTCGTAAGACCTCAATAAGGCAACTTCGAGCTTGTAAGACCTCAGTGAGGCAGCATCGAATGTGTAAGACCTCAACGAGGCATGCCCAAACTTATAAGACCCCAATGAGGCAATACTGAGTTTATAAGACCTCAACGAGGCGTACTCAAACTTATAAGACCTTAAAAAGGCATAACCCCCATATTAAGGCCAAGGCCATATATTCGAACTTGTAAGACCCCTAAAAAGGCATCCCCTCGGCCATGTTTGCAAAGTGCCTAATCATGTAAATGATGCGCCAGAATGATGGATAGATTTGGCCGAGTGTCACTCGATATTGTCTGCAGAAATCGAGAGTCACGAGGTCTATCGACAGCGAGGATGGTTCTACTGGACCTAGGGTAAAAGGATATGTGTATACACTAAGGAAACCGGCTTTATGTGTTGTTATGTCTTCCTCCCGAGAAGGAATCTCCACTTGCACCGCCTCCCCCCAGCGGCAATCATCTTTCACCTTCCTAGTGTCGGTTATCAGGCTAATATATCGGGACATGGGTTCGCACCACCCCGGTGTCGAAGAAGGCTTGTCAACCTTGAAATCGGAGGATGCTTCACAGGGTCCGGGGATAAACTCCTCAAGATGAGGAAGTACTATGGCCCTGCCCTTAGACGAGCGTGAAGATAAAGAAGCTTTATCATCTTGGGGAATGGTTCTAGAGGTCTTTGCCATTTTTGCTGAAATGTTTCAGAGGAAAAGAGAAAAACTAGATGAGAGACGAACATAAGAAAGAAGTAAGAAGAGTTGTTGAAAGTTTGGAGATATGATAAAGAGTAAGGCGTGAAGGATTGGAGTATTTATAGGGGCCTGTAGTGCGCGTTGGGAAAGCCAAATGACGGCCATCCATCGTAATCAATTCGAGGCTTTTTAAGAGCCGTGCGAACATGACTTTTGAACATCCCTTTTTGTCACATCAATCGCTTACATGACATAACTAATGTAATGATGGAGGCATTGAAGAGTTCAAGAATTCAAATCGTTCCTTGTTATTCCATTCCAAGAAATGTGGGGACTATCTGTATACGGTCAAAATCAGGGAAGGTCGATTTAAGGCTTCTATGGCGTTTCAAGCCCGGCCTCGATGGGCTCGAAGCACAGTCTAAGGCTCGTCCCCGAAGCACTCGCCTCGAGAGGGTATACTGACGACTCATCATAGCGTACCTCGAGGCAGCATGAAAATCGACGACCGACATGGAAAGGCGGGAAATTTTCGAGGGCACGTGATTAGAACTGACAGAGTCTGCGAGAAATAGTACAAATCCGTACTAGACCATTATACAGCTGTACCAATAGCATTTCCTCATCATTATTAGACATGTATTATGTTGGGATTCTCCCCTCCTATATAAAGGGGACCCTTGTCATTTTGTAACAGATGAACATTCAATACAATAGAACATTCTCTACCTTTATTGCCTAAACGTGTTCAACAATTACTCTACAGATTTATTGCTTGTTCATTTATTGTTCTTCGTTTATTGCCCATTATTAACCGCATAAGGCTATCTTCGAGGCATTCGTTATCATTGTTTCTTCATCAATTGTTCATTGCTAACTGCCCTAACTAGACCTCGAAGCCCCCTGTTCCAGCCAGCAGTCTTACGACAGCATTGGTTTGCATATCTTGTTCTCTTTACTTACACTTAGCATCTATTGCCTAACAACAAGTGTTGAAATAAATCACATATTTTTAGAACCATAAAATCAAATATAATTGTTAATACCATTTTCAAGGTAAACAAATACTAAAAGGTATCTATAAAAGGATTGCTTAATAGTCTGTTTGGCCAAACTTCAAAAATCAATTAATTTTGAAAAAGTATTTTTTTAAATTGCTTTTAAAAAGTACTTTTGGTGAGAATCAATTTGTGTTTTTGAGTAATTAATGTGAAAGCACTTTTGAGCGGCATTTAGTGTTTGGTCAAGCTTTTAAAAAATATTTCTAAGTATATTTTTCTCAAAAGTACTTTTCAAAAAATTAATTTTGGAGAGAAGCTACTTTTTTATAGCTGCGCAAAACTTGCTTCTAAAGCTTGGCCAAACACCTTATTTGGTAAAAACACTTTTAATAAAATTTAGAAAAGAATACTTTTGGCCGAAAAGAAGCTTCAAGCAACTTCTAGGGGGACGGAGGAAGGGGGAGGGTGGGGGGGTGGGGTGGGTCAGCTCTAAATTTTTTGCAAATTCTTTTACATTACTCCTACCATTTTATCCCTATATATATTGCCCTTGAAAGAGTCGACATGACTTGCTAGTACTAAAAGCACTTAATAAAATATTCTGTGCATATTTAACAGATGTCTTAAAGATTCATTTCTTTTATAAACAAAAGTCTTATAATATACTCACAATATTGTAATAGAGTTTGACCAAATCATATTAATTCCTATAATATTATTTCATTAACGCTAATACCATTCCACTAGCACTATGTGAGGGACAGAGTAAAGTAGAACAAGTCAAGACTATCACGGCGCTGGAACCAAACTGTCTTTAATTTTTGCATATAAATATGTCCCTATAATTCCACGTTCCTCTCATTCTTCTTTAAAAACCTTAACTACTTCTTTAATTTATTTTCTCCATCCCTTAGTAGTTTAATTAGCAGAGGCACTAAACACTTTATTTACATAATCCTAATCTCTCTTAAATATCTGTTGTGTATGCAATACGTGTATCCACATAATATACACGTAAAATAAAATCTCCTTAGTTCTTCCTATATATGGCTTTAAACCCCCCATGAAAATCACGTTCTCAAACTCACGTCAACTTCACTTCTTTTCACCTTATCGTCCACATCCAAGTTTCACCTCATCCTCAACCTTTAATTTCTCTTACTTTCCTTAGGGACCATTACAACCACAACCGAACTTGTACGAGATTTTGTTAATAGAGAAGCTACTGACAATTCCAAGGGCCAGATACAACCTCGTATATAATAAAATAGTTAGAAGTACTGAACAAGCGAGTTACTCACTCAACTAATATAATGAGTTGCTTGCAAAGTTGGCCGGAGCCAATTGTCCGAGTTCAAGCACTCTCCGAAAGTGGCATTCAAGAAATCCCCGACCGTTTCATTAAACGGCCAGCGGATAGACCATGTTTAATGGAGAGTACAACTCAAGACAACAATATTCCATTGATTGATCTTGAAAACCTGAAGTCATCCAAGGAATCTGTTCGCTCTGAAACTATGAAACTCATTTTCCAGGCTTGTTGCGACTGGGGTTTTTTCCAAGTGGTGAATCATGGCGTTAGCCATGACCTGATGGCAAAAACTCGCGGTGTTTGGCGCGAGTTTTTTCATCTTCCACTGGAGGAGAAACAGAAATTTGCAAATTCTCCGATAACTTATGAAGGGTACGGCAGTCGGCTAGGAGTGGAGAAAGGTGGCAAATTGGATTGGAGTGATTATTTCTTCCTTCATTTTCTTCCTGAGCCATTGAGAGATGAGAAAAAATGGCCTAATCTTCCGATTTCATGCAGGTGAACTTTCATTTCTTCTTCTCCTATGGCACGTACTTTTGTATTACTACACATTACTTTTTCGCGATATATTATCTGGAAATCTTACACCTATTTATAGCTTTAAACAGACGGAGTAAATACATCTGCACCTACTGCTTTCAATATATATACATCTTCTAATAACTAATATAGAGTTTGTTTGGTTATTTTTTATTTTTTTAGTTTATTCGGGCATTTTAATAGACACTTTTTGTTTACAAATAGTATAAAAGTTATATCTCTTCCCCATGTCCTACTTTGAAATTTTACCGGGTATGTTGTTATTGTTGCATGAAAATGACCTCTCAGACATCAAGAAGCAAATGTATTAACATTTTAAAGAAGGAATCACACCTTTATCATAAACAATACAAGTAAAATCAATATTTTTAGTAGGGAACTTCATCATTTTTTTTTGTATACTAAAAATAAATATGCATAAGTAAATAACATTTTCAATAAGGGAATTCCACCAATCAGAATAAGAAAAACAAAAAAAAGAATATCTTCAATAGATGCAGAATTAGATAAAATATAAAATCCCAAAAATCAAAGCCATAAATTTCATATTTTGCTAGGCAATGCTTGCGAAATATTCATCATAATTTCATAGTAAAGAAATTTAAATTGCATTTAACAATTATAGAATAACACAAATTTTTATGTTATTATTAAAAAAAAATTATAAAAATTAAATTTGATCTCAATAGAGGAAAAAAGAATAAAAATTAATAAACGATAAATAAGAAATTAGGAGGTAGCCAAAAAGGAAAATGAATGGGACAAAGGAAATAAAAAGTACAACGAAAAGGGAAAAACAGACAAGGTTCATGATAAATTGAATCTTGAATTTTGCATATTGACAAATGCTTTCAAAAAGGTCTCCCGACCATGGCAAACCTTTGTCTAATTAGCGACTGGGTCATTGAATGAGCATTCTCAATAAAAGAGCTCGGATCGAATGGCAGGATCAAATATTTTACTTAGTTTAAGCAAATCCCTAAAGGGTGGATCCGCAATTTTTTTTTCTTTTTATGCTTTTTTTTTTATGTGTTCTATTATTGTTGCCTAGCAAGGATGTTGGCCAGTATTAAATGGCATAATCTAAAGATTGTGATCTCAACAATATCTTTTGAGACTCCTATTGATATTATTGTTTTTATTCGACGTCGCAATAGAGTTTCACACTTTATCAGAACCTTTGTATGCGAAAGTGGTCCTAGAGTAGTTAGTAAAATACAACTTGTTGTCTCTCATGTTTTCGAAAAGGCAAAATAATTCTCTGAAAAACATGTCAAACGTGGTCGGTGGTATAAGATAACGTACATTTTGTCGATAACAGTATAGTTATAACATTGTTTTGTTCTTTTTTGTTATGGTTTGTGATGTCTCAGAAAAATTGTTGCTGAATACGGACAAGAAGTAGTGAAACTTTGTGAAAGAATATTGAAGATTTTATCCTTAAACCTGGGATTAAATGAGGATTATCTACACCATAAGTTTGGAGGGGACAATGAAAGAGGTGCATGTTTAAGGGCAAATTTTTACCCAAAGTGTCCACAACCAGACTTAACCCTAGGCCTTTCTTCGCACTCTGATCCTGGTGGCATGACCCTTCTCCTCCCTGATATCGACGCCGCCGGCCTCCAAGTCCGCCGTGGCAATAACTGGTTAACTGTTAAACCTGTTCCCAATGCCTTCATCGTCAACATTGGAGATCAAATTCAGGTTTCTTACTCATTAACCGACAGAGCATGCATGGTTTTTCGACTGATCATGTTGTTCACCATTATATACTCCTTGTCTCATTTCTCAAAATAGTTTAATCTCACTTAATATTGAATATGGTTTTCTATTTTTATCTCGTACATTTTATGAGTGTACATAGTTTTAATAATGATCACAGGTATTAAGTAATGCAATGTACAAGAGTGTAGAGCACAGAGTGATCGTCAATTCGGCCAAAGAACGTGTTTCATTAGCATTCTTCTACAATCCAGGAGGTGACAAACTCATTAAACCTGCAGATGAGCTTGTGACGGAGGACCGGCCGGCGTTATATTTTCCGACGACGTTCAATAAGTACCGAGCCTTAATTAGAACTAAGGGACCTAGTGGAAAATCTCAAATTGAATCACTAAAATCTCCAAGATAATTAGTCTATCTTTTATTTTTGAGAAGTTACTGTGTTTATACGTTAACACAGTATCCTGTATTTTTCCTTAACACAGTAAATGCCCAGTATCGGCAGCTGGCTGTTTCCTGTAGTTTTCCTTTTCTATTGCAATAATACTATTAAGACAAGCGGCAATCGGTGAGAATCAATATATGCGTCAACCTATTTCATTGTGACATCTGATATTTTGTTAAGTTATCAATTTATTACCATACGTCAAATATCACTTTATCTAATTAGACACGTAATTTTACGACGTCCACTATAGTCAAAGTTATAACCATTCCAGTTTAAAAGATTATTCAGATAAGATTATTTTGAAAGTGACCGTAGTTACAAGTCAAAGTAAGAAAGTATGATTCCATTTCAAATTTGGTTTTAATAGTAGAAAATTGGTTGACAATTTAGGTACTAATACACATTTACTAGAGTGTCAAGTACAGCACAGCATAGTCCAATTAGATGCAAGTTTTAGTGATAACTAATGTCTGTTTCACTTCTAGCAACTTCACTTTTCTTTTGTAATCTCTAGCCAATTTTGCCTAAACCAAACATTTATAGTGTCCTTTAAATTCCACAAACAAAAAATTTAGCACGTGTTAAATTTTTGCATTGAATTGTATATTTCGTACTAACAGACAAAGCAAGTTTCCACTATAATGGGGTTGTAATTGGATAGTGCATGCGTGCTTTATATGACTTTGCTACCTCTTTTTGAACTTAAAGTAAACTAGGCTTATATTTTCTAGCGGTAGTTGATATGACATTATTGACATGGACACTCGCATGAGATGAAACCTTATACGATTCTCATAGCCATTAAGGAAAGTCTAATAGTTAGACATTAATTAATAATATCAATAACAAAGAATACTAATTCCAATTAGTCTTTTTAAGCAAATATTTTGTGTCGAACAGAATAATCATGAAACCTTGACCTATGTATCTAGCTCGTATAGTTTGTTGACCATAACTTGTGCATTAAAAAAAGATGTAATATATAATGGCGTCCGCGGAATATTAAGTATCGGCGAACTTTGTGACAGCAATCGCAGTACTATAAAGGATACAAGCATTGTCCTGATTCATTGAGCGTAATCTTTCGTGATAAAATGTTCCTAAAATTAAAAAATTCTCTCTCTAAAAATTCTCTTTCTACAACATCTCTCTCTACAACGTCTCTCTCTAACGGCTCTATTCAAAGCGCGTTCTGATCACGCTCCACGAGATGAAGCCGCCGGGAGGCCTCCAATCGACGCGTCTGGGCGACCAAAATCAAAATAAGGGGGAGATTACTCACACAAACGAGAATCTCCTAGGAAAACATTCATACGCTACTATGATTTCATCTCCATCAAGCTCCTCTCCAAACTCCACCCGCCAAGAGAAAGAAAAGTGATAGTAAGACAAACAACACACAATGGTATGCCTGCTGTTATATTCAAAGATTCAGATTACTATGGTATCATGGTTGAATCATGTAAGTACACTATTGTGGGTAGGTTTCTTAGTCCATGCCCCCAAATTGACCGAATTAGGTCTAGATTCAAAGAAATTGTATCTCTGAAAGGGTTAGTAAGACTTGGGGTTTTGACAACCATAATGTCTTTATTGATCTATTTAACGAGGAAGATCGAAAAACTGTATAGTTCCGACGGATCATTGAAATCGATGGGATGCAGATGCGGTTGCAGAAATGGTCTCCGGACTTTAAACCGGAGGAGGATCTGCCGGTTGCCCCTGCATGGGTTCTTCTACCAGGATTACCCTTCCATATACACGATTGGCACTATATAAAGCAGCTCCTGAGCTCAGTTGGAACTCTGTTAGCCCTTGATGCTGCTAAGATAGGGAGAACAAGGCCAAGTATGGCTAAAATCAGAGTTGAGGTTGATTTGCTTAAACCTCTGCCACAGAGTGTCTTTGTGGGTCAAGAATATGAGGAATATCCTCTCAAAGGATAAACACAAAAATTGGAGTATGAAGGGGTCCCTAAATACTGTAAACATTGCAGAGAAATAGGACACTATATGGTCAACTGTAGGGTCCTAGAAAAGAAGAAAGCTGAACAAAAAGAAGAAAGTGAGGGAAGGGAACAGGGCAAGGATACTCAATTGGACACAGGAATTGAAGCAAGCAAATAATCAATCAATGACAATAGGGAGGACCAAAAATCTCCAAGCTTGGAGAATGATCAGAATCAGCAAAAAGAGAATGATATTTCCAAGGCCATGAAGGAAGGAAGGAAAAATAACAAGAAAAAGAAGACCAAAAAGATGCCAAAAATTCTATTCAAACCTGCTCAAGGCAGCAGCAAAAGGAAAAAACTGGCCGACTCTATAGCAAAGCAGAATGAATTCTCGAAGCAGGCCATAGAGGAGAGCTTACTAAGCCCTGTTAATAATGATAAAATTCTTCAACAAGATCAAGGCGCAGAGATTAACAATAATGAAAGCACCACCAAAGGAAATGAGCTTGATACAGAAGATGAGCAACAAATACAGAACAACCACAGGCAGAATAATAGTCAAAAAGATAGAATCAAGGAAAATGAGAACCTTGAACAACACTGTTGTGACTCCAATTCATCAACTGTTCCTACTGAAATAAGGAACCAGCCTGGCTTACAATTGGTCGTGGACCTATATGGGAACAAAGAAGATGGCAATAACCCTATCCTGGAGGATGATAACACTGTTAGCCTTCAGGTGGTTGATCAGTCCTATATTCATAAAGAAATGAGAAAAGAGAACCTGGATACTCAAAATCAAAATGAGGAACAGCAACAAACAACAAGAAGAGGAAGAAGAGATACCAGGAAAAGTGGCAAAAGAAACAGAAACAAAACTCAACCTTCTTTGAGAAGGAGCCAAAAGGAGGATATCACTCCTAATTGTTCCAATGATTAGTGCACTATTTTGGAATATTAGGGGGGTTAGATCCAAAAATCCATTCACAGGCTAAAGAAATTGATCAATCTTAACAACACTCAATTTGTGGCTATCTTCGAACCCTTTAGTACTAAGGAGAAAGTAGATGGCTACAGAAAAATCCTTGGTTTTCAACATTGCTGCTTCAACACTAATGGACAAATTTGGTATTTTTGGAATGCTTACAACCTCACTAAGATTATTACAGTCAGTGACCAACATGTTACTATCAAAATGTACAAAGCTATTGGAAAGCAAGACATTTGCATTACTGCAATTTATGCTAAATGCAAATCAAATGACAGAAAAGATTTTTGGTATGCTCTTGAACAAGACAATCTGGTGGTGGATGTCCCTTGGTGCATAGGGGGTGATTTTAATGTCATATTGGATCCTAATGAGAAACTAGGGGTAAGCCACACAGGATGCATAGAAGCTTGGAGTTTCAAACATGCATGGACAATTGTGGGGTTACTGATATTGGGTATAATGGCTCAAACTATACCTGGTGTAACAACAGAAGTCCTGGAAGAGGATTTGGAAAAGGTTGGACAGAGTTTCTGCTAATGACTTGTGGGATCAGCTCTTTCAAAGGTGCTCTATTAGGAACCTAGCTAGGACTGGGTCGGATCATAGGCCTATTCTAATGAAGAACTTGGATGGTAGCCATCAACACATTAAATACTTTAGATTTTTGAATGGTCCAGGAATGATATAGGGGATATTAATGAAGCTGTCATAAAATGGGAAGAAAAGCTCCAAGAGTTAGAAGATATAGACATCGAGAATAACACTGAAAAGAGTAGAGAGGATGTCAACAAAGCTCATGTTCAATATATCAGATGGCTTAGTCTTCAAGACTCTCTGCTCAGACAGAAATCTCAGGCAAAATGGTTTGAAGGGGACAACAATACTAGCTACTTCCATTCCATCCTTAGGGAAAGAGGAAGAAGACAACAGATCAACTGTATCAAAAACAGAAAAGGAAATAGGATCAGGGGGGATGAGAAGATAGTTAGGAAAGCTATTAAATATTTTCAATATCTCTTCAACCTTACTCTACCTACTATCAACACTTCAATTTTGGATTGCATTCCTTCTTGTATCTCGAGGGATGACAATGATATGCTAAGCAAGATTCCAGATGACAAAGAAATCAAAGAAGCTGTTTTTAGCTTGAGCCCTCATAGCACTGCAAGCCCAGATGGCTTCAATGGTACCTTTTTTCAGAGTTGCTAGGACATCATCCAAAAGGAGATAACTGCCTTTGTGATCGAATTCTTCAAGGGAAAAGGTTTGACTAAATTCTATTCTCATACTTGTTTGGTCTTAATTCCTAAAGTGGAGAATCCTGCTACTTTTGCTGAGTTTAGACCTATTAGTCTCTCAAATTTTACTAACAAGATTATATCTAAAATTATTTCTATTAGAGTTAATACTCTTTTGTACAAATTAGTTTCTTTGAATCAGAGTGGATTTGTATAAGATAGATTGATTTCTGAGAATGTCCTGCTAGCTCAGGAAATTATTCACAATATTGCTCACACTAAAAAAGGTGGTAATATGGTGATTAAACTTGATATGGCTAAAGCATATGATAGAATATCCTGGAATTTTATTTATGCTGTTTTAAGAAAATTTGGATTCTCAGATAGTTGAATTCTAATGATCCATAATCTTATCTCTAATGTATGGTACTCTGTCATTGTAAATGGTACTAGACATGGTTTTTTCTCATCCTCACAAGGGCTAAAACAAGGAGATCCATTGTCTCCAACTCTTTTCATAATTGCTGCTAAGGTCCTGTCTAGGTCTCTTAACTGTCTTTATAGGAATCCTAAATCCATCCCTTTCTCTATGCCTGCTAATGTTCCAAAGATTAACCACCTAGCCTATGCTGATGATATTGTTATTTTCTGTAGTGGTGGTTCAACCTCTGTTAAATTGGTCATGAACACTATCTATAACTATGAAAGAAGCTCTGGTCAACTTGCTAATAGGGATAAAAGCTACTTCTTAACTGCTCCTAATACTGCTGCAACCAGAATTAACAGGATTAGAAATTATTCAGGCTTTATGGACAAGGCTTTTCCCTTTACCTATCTAGGTTGTCCCCTTTATGTGGGAAGAAAAAGATTGATTACTTTGATAGCATGATTAGTAAGGTGGTTAAAAGACTTACTGGTTGGCAAGGTAAATTTTCTTCTCATGGTGGTAAAGTTATTCTGGTTAAAAGTGTGCTTCAA